CCCCCCGCCCCCATCCCCAGCTCCTGCTCAGGCTCAGATTGTCCACGCCGGCCAGGCATGTGTGGTGAAGGAGGACAACATCAGCGAGCGTGTCTACACCATCCGGGAGGGGGACACTCTCGTGCTGCAGTGCCTTGTCACGGGGCATCCTCGGCCCCAGGTAAGCACCCGCCCCCCCACGGCCTTGGCTTCTCACTCCCCACCCCGCCCTGGGATCCGAGCTGCCGAAGAGGCAGTGCGAGCTGGGAATAAGAGGCGCACGAAGTTGGCAAAGCCAACACAAGACAGAAGACTGGGGCGGGGAGAGAACTAGAAAATGAGCTCTGTGGGCAAGGGCTGGCGGCCGTGAGCTTATTCTCCTGAAAACATGGGATGACTGAGGGGACAAATTAAATGGCAGTTGTTCAATTCCACTTCATTCCTGTTGTATCTGCTGGGCAGACGCTTCCTCAGATGCACCTTCCACCTCAGTCTGAGGGCAGACCTCACACGCCAACACTGTGTTGGCGCTTCCTCCAGCGTCTTCTCTTTGGAGCCTCACAACCAGGCTGTGGGGGAGACATGAGGGCTTCTGTTACACAGCTGAGGAAGTCAAAGCTTGGGGAGGTTGAGTGAACTCCCAAGATCGCACAGCTCCTGGGAGGGTGGAAGCAGAATTTGAATCCAGAACCAGTGTTCTCTGTAGCTTAGCACACTTCCCCCCAGTGTGTCCGTCTTTGGGTTGGGGGGTTCCGGGAGCCTCTTCAGGAGGCTTCAGGTAGGCAAGCCCCACACCCTGAGGTTAAAAGACTGAAAGCAGTTAGAAAGCAACAGAAGAGGAGTACCTGGAAATGCCAGGTATGTTTTTGTCACGGACCAAGTACGTGGTTTAGTCAGAAGGGTTGTCCAATTATCACTGAAGCTGATGGGAAGAGGCAGGAGGCAGGCTGGAGGGGTGGCTGGAATTTGCTGGTGAGCTGCTGTGGCATTTAAGAGCAGCAGAAAATTTTTCATTGGCTCCTAGGGAGGGCAATGAAATGCAGAAGCATTTTTGGGATAATTTTGGGCACAGAGATGGCTTTGGTAGGTTTGGCCTGGAGATAAGCAAAGGGACAAGGAAACCCCTGAGGACTCAACCTGAAACCATCATCACCACTGGCTTCTTCTCAAAGTTTTGCTTCAAAGTGATAGTGATGCTGCCAGGCTTCAGGTTGCTGTTTGCATCGGGCGTGACGTCAGGATGGTCCTCCCTGGCCAGGGAGGCCACTGGGCCATCTCTCCCTCAGGCTGCACTGGCCACCTGTGTGTGTCCCCTTGTGCATTGCATTCATGAGTGGTTTATGGCTGGGGCTCAGTGTGTGTGCGCACACACTCTTTTTTCTACTTCCATCCACAATGTCATTGTTCTTCCTGCTACCAAGGCTCAAACCCTTGGGCTACAATATGGCTCTGTGCCATCTCATTCCCCACATCTAGCCAGCCTCTGCGACTTCTGTTTTTATGTCTCTTGCATGGGTCTTTGTTTCTATTCCTCATTACCTCTGGAGGTCAGACCTGCAATCCTAGCCCTTGGACCACTGCAGTAGGCTAACTGGCCCCCCTCCATGCTTCCCCCTCCAATTCGCTTCTGTACCCAGCTCCCAGAATTGTAATCTTCAAACCTGCTCTATCATAGCACTCCCCTGCTCAGAAACCTTCAGTGGTTTACCTATTAACTACCAGACCCAGTTCAGGCAGCTAGGGGCGGAAGGGAAGACCCCCCACCCCAGTCTGGCCCCACCTGCCTTTCCTGTCTGACCTCCACTGCCATCCTCCTCATACCCATACTGTGCTCTAGTCACACGTGCCCAAGTACACCCTGTTCATTCCTGTGTCAGCCACTGCTGCTCACCTCTCCTGAAATGCGTCTACCTCCTTGTTTGCTCATTTCATTAAACACGTATTTATTGAGCACCTGCTATGTGCCCAGCGCTGTGATGGGCCCTGAAGATATAGTTCCCGTTGTCATGGAGCATCCAATCTAGCAGGAGAACAGGGAAGGAGCATCTCAAGGCGCACTTTGAGGTCAGGATGGGGGATGGAATGGGCATGGAATTCCCCACTCCAAACAAATAGCAAGAGAGTGGGAATCTCAAGGGCCAAAATGAAGAAAGAATCTGGAGCAATGGCAGTGAGCAGAAGGTGAAGAACATGGTCCTTGGAGGGGCTTGAACTACATACTCACCTCAGGGATAATAGTATGAATACCCGCACAGGGGGTATGAGCTGAGGCCCCAGGTCCATCTATGGTTGGAGGCTAGACTTAGACTCTCTACCTAAAGAAGGAAGCTTGACAAGGGCACCCCCTGTGAATGGGGACCAGAAGCTCTCTGTCCCACAGCCCAGAGTCACAGCAGGGAGCAGACTCTGCTTCAGGGCGTATGTACAAATCGTCGCCTCTAATGGAGCATATACCCCTTGGGCTGTCTGTTTCTTACACTGTCCAAGTGGTGAGGACACCCAAAGCTGAGAAACTAATATAAAAACTAGTTGGAACCTGTGAACCCATGGGTCTTGGGCATAAGCAACCACAGAGCTACACCACAGACAGGCATGTGAGGGCCCATGTGGAATTTCTGTGGAAGAAAACTCCCATGGACTACAGGCCTGTGGAGTAAAATTTTAAAACACATTTAAAAATACAGTGCCAGCAGGGCCAGTCCAGAGACTCAAAGAATTGAACAAGTCATATCTGAGGAAACAGAGTAAACAGAGCCATCTGAAAGGATCTTGAGAATAAATATGTTTAAAGTGTTTAAAGAGATAACAAAAGATTATACAACCTGATCAGTTAGATATGGGGGGAAGAAACCAAATAGAAATCCTAGAAATAAAAATAATACGGTCTTTTGAAAAATTTGGCCTCAATACCATAGAGATCGCTAAAGAGAAAATTAGCTAATTGGATGATAGATCCGAGGAAATCAACTACAAAGCAGCCCGGAGAAGACAAAGAGATGGGAATTGTGAAAAGGAAGTTGGGAGACATGGAGGATAGAATGACAAGCTACAACATAAACTTAGGACAGACTAGAGAAAACTGAGAGAAGACAACATTTAAAGAGATAAAGGCTGAGAATTTTGTAGAATTGAAGAAAAGTACAAACCCTGGAGTGGCTGCTCTCTGCATGAGAAAGCTGCCCTTCACCCACTTCTCCCCAGCCTTGTTGTTTTCATGGCCTACAGCCTGACCTCTTCGCCGGGATCAGGGGCCTTGCCGTGTCTCAGTAATAAGCAACCCTACCCAACTTTAAGTTGGAAGCTTCCCTACCCCATCCTCCAGTCCTTAAGACTTAATCATCTGGAACTGACCAATTTTTCTTAAACCTCTGCTACTCTGAGTAGTAGCTCCAGTGTCTTGTGTGATTCTTGCTAGCTCCCCACATCTAGGGCAATGTTGATAACAATGGAAATTCGTTGAGTGAGTAATATATACTGGGGGCTACATTTAGGTGCTTTATACACTTTGTTTCTAAACCTCTGCAAAGCAGAAATTGTGCTATGTCATAGTTATAGTTATCTACTGCTGCGTAACAAATGCTCTAAAACTCAGCAACTCAAAACAACAAACACGTATTGCCTCACCGTTCCTGTGGGACCAGAATCCAGGAGCAGCTTAGCTGGCTGGTTCTGGCCCGTGGTCTCTCAGGAGGCTGCAGCCATTTGAGAACTGACTGGGGTGGGAGGACCCACTTGCAGGCTACCTCCTGTGGCTGTTCACCTGAGGTTTCCCTTCTTCCCCTCTGGACCCCTCCCTCCGGAGGGCTGCTCATGACAAGCCAGATGGCTTTCCCCAAGATGGAAATCACAGTCCTTCATAACCTGATCTTGGAAGTGACATACCATCATGCCCACTGTGTTATATTGGTCACACAGCCCATCCCTGGTACAAAGTGGGAGGGCACCCCAGAAAAAAGGACTAGAGGCTGGGATCGCCGGGGACCATCTTGGAGTCTACCCCATAGACCTCTTCCACAGATGAAAAATCTGAAGTGAGAGAGGAGTAACCTGCCCAAGGCCACTAAAAACTTTATCAAATTCTTAGTCTTACAGGCACTAAGGCACATTTAATCATCCCAGGAAGCCTAGGTGGGATATTCTCCATTTTCCCAATGAGGAAAGGAAGGCAGGAAAGGTGGGATAACTTGCCCCAATCCAACTTGCCTCTTAACCACTGCACTATCCTGCCTTCTTTAAAGCCTCCTCCCTCTGACCCCAGATTCCCCGGATTCTTTCCCGAGGCACCCTGCCCCATCTGTGTATTCCCCTGGGGGAATTAGTTTCCCAGGCCAGGGTGGTCCCCACGAGCACTCAGGAAAAACAGTGGGGGCCGGGGGGAGGGAAGGCACGGTCGCCTGGCCTTCAGCCCGGAACCCTACCCCCCACCCCCACCCCCACCCCCGCACTGCCGCGGCTCACTCGGCCCACCCCGCGGGCCCAGGTGCGCTGGACCAAGACTGCGGGCAGCGCCTCAGACAAGTTCCAGGAGACATCGGTGTTCAACGAGACGCTGCGCATCGAGCGCATCGCGCGCACGCAGGGCGGCCGCTACTACTGCAAGGCGGAGAACGGCGTGGGCGTGCCCGCCATCAAGTCTATCCGCGTGGACGTGCAGTGTGAGTCTCGGCGGGAGGAGGGGGGTGGAAAGGAGGCTGGAGAGGCGACACCTCCGTGGAAGAGCACAGTAGAGACTTCATCTCTTCCGGACTGAAGGGGTTTACCTGCTGTTCCTCCAGTGTGTCTCACCCTATACCCTTCACGCGTTTCCCTCCATAATCCATACGTACCTTGCAACAGCCCTCTCAAGTGATCAGGGAGGGTGGGACAGGTTGAATTATACTTTTTTCACAGATGAAATTGAGGTACTGGAGGTTTGTGACTTGTTCACCTGCAAAGGTTCTCTGGACTCTGCTCTGGTGCCCTTCCCATAGTACCTCATGTCTCTGCTTTTGCCCCAGGGGCCTCTCTGAAACTTCCCTACTCCCACCACTTACAGGACCAAGCACCCCTCAGTCCTGGCTGCTGGTTGAATGGGAAGCCCCTAGTCCCTACCTGCCCGCCATAGAGATACCCCCCTTAGCCCCAAGAGGCTATTTCACTGCTTGCCCAGGCTGATCCTAGTTACCCAGAAGCTGTAGGGCCAAGCCAAGGGGCCTGTCTGGCACCATCTTAATGTCTACAATGAACCTACCCATTAAATATGCCCATGCACCCCCACCCAAGTGAGACCCCCAAGTGGTGAGCAATGGAACCTCAGATCCTTCTGTCCCCTTTCAGTCAACCACAGGCCTGCCAAATCCTGGGGCTGAGGGTCATTTCTTGATTTATTGGTGCTGGAAGGGGGTGGCAGACATGGCCCGGGTGTTACCAATGCCCTACCTCCACCTCTGGTCTTTGTTATGACTTCTGTCCAAGTGGGCTGTGTGAGGACAGAATGATGGGACACCTGTCGAAGGATGTTAGGCTGTGGAACGTGGGTGCCTTTGGTTCACAACACTGGCTGCCCATTAGAATGTCTAGGGGGCTCTTTAGAAGCAACTACTGATGCCTGGGTTCCACTTCCAGAGATTCTGATAATTGGGCGTGGGGCCCCGGCATCAGGATTTTTCTTAAACTCTTTTTTTTAAATTGAGGATTAAGCTACATCCGATAGAGTACACTAATCTTAAATGTACAGTTCAGTGAATTCTTATGTCTATGCATGTGTAAACACCATCCAGTTCAAGAGCATTTCCAGGACCAGAAAGTTCCCTCATGCTCCCTCCCAGTCAATAATCTCCTTAGAGGCAATCATTCTTCCTACTTCTGACACCATCAATAAGCTCTGCCAGGCAGTGGTATTACAAAGAAAGTCTCCATGTGATTCTGTCGTGCAAACAGAGGTGAGAACCACCAATCTAGTCCAATTTACCAGCGAGGAAACAAGCCCAGAGAGAGAAGGGACTTAGGCAGGTCACACTGCAAATTAACAGCTAACCTGGGATTTGAACCAGTGTCCTGATTTCCAGTCCGCGGCTGCTTCCTCCATCCCATGATGGGAGGGTGAAGATAGACACCCGCATGCAGGGCCGGGGGGAGGGATAGCTGGGAAGCCGTTAAGCCCATTCCCCTGCCTCTAATGGGTGGTCAAGCTTGTGGGCTGGGAGAGCATCTGGCTCTCTGGAAGCATCCCTTGAGGGTGGCTTAGCTTTCCCTGCGGGCTGCCAGAAAACCCAGCCCCCCACCTTGGGGTCAGCTGGCCCTGACTCCACTGGGGCTGTGTCCTTGCAGACCTGGACGAGCCCATGCTGACGGTGCACCAGACGGTGAGCGATGTTCGAGGCAATTTCTACCAGGAGAAGACAGTGTTCCTGCGCTGTACCGTCAACTCCAACCCGCCTGCCCGCTTCATCTGGAAGCGGGGCTCCGACACCCTGTCTCACAGCCAGGACAATGGGGTCGACATCTATGAGCCCCTCTACACCCAGGTCAGGATGGACAGCAGCCGGCCTGGTCTCCTCATGGCTTGCCCCACACTCTTCCTTCTGCACCCAGCAAGGGAGGGGGACGCAGAGACCGAGGCCTTGTGATCCTGTGTTCCAGGGACGGTGCCCTGACTCCAGTAATTCTGTTCTGACGTCAGAAGCATGCATTCTGATTGGGCTTCATACAACCCTTGCCAAATGAAATCAGGACAGAAAGGTCAGGGAGGACAGGAGAGTCCCCCAGGCACCAGTCCTCCGGGGACATTGCTAGTTAGGAAAGGCACCCTCCAGGGGCAGGCATGTCATCCCTGCGTGCTGCTGGCTGGCAGAGTATTGGGAACTCTTGGGCAGGCGCGGTAGCAGTTGGGGGCAGAGAGATGACTGCACTTCCCATGGGACCCCTACAGTCCCGGACGGTGGTGAGGCAGCTGTCCTACCAGGAGCATCTTTCAGAGGTGGCTATCCTAGGTGGCAAAGCTCCACAGGAGGCCATGGCCTGTGGGCCAGCCCCATGTTTGTATGGGTTGTAAGACAGAGCAGGAGTCCTTCCTTACCGTCCATTTCCCAGAGTGGGAAAACTGAGGCTGTCCCGGCCGGTGTGCCCCAGGACAGCACCAGATGCAGAGGAGCCCAAGGTATGGAGACCGCAGTATCCACCCCAGGCTCCGGCTCCCTGAGGCTAAACGGTGTGGAGGTTGGAAAGATAGAAATTTAAGTAGGAATTTGCTTCCGCCTTGGGTGCTGGGTGAATGTGTGTGGGATCCCTAGAGACCCAAGCAGGCCCCTCACCCCAGTGCTCTGCTGCTGCCTAGGGGGAGACCAAGGTCCTGAAGCTGAAGAACCTGCGGCCCCAGGACTATGCCAGCTACACCTGCCAGGTGTCTGTACGCAACGTGTGCGGCATCCCGGACAAGGCCATCACCTTCCGGCTCACCAACACCACGGGTACAGGCCTTCCCTGCCCGTCCCCGCCCACCTGGGGCTGACTCCCCAGCTAGGAGACAGCGCCCCGCCCCACACAGGACTCTAGGCCCCTCCCCGTGAGCGTGTCTCCACCCCCCC